AGATAGATAGATAGATAGATAGATAGATAGATAGATAGATAGATAGATAGATAGATAGATAGATAGATAGATAGATAGAATCTGAGGGTCCTTCCTTTTGCTACTTTAGAACTCAGGACTGTTGGAAAATGTCACGCTTCGAGTTTATCAGCTCTGGTGTTTGGATGGGGAGGGTGTGATATTCGGTAGAGACGCACTAGAAAGATAGCGAAAGTTAGCAGAGATGGGTAGATAGGATTGCTAGATTAAGTAGAAGAGGGATGGGAGGGTGGGTGGATGGATGGGAGAACTAGAGATGAGAGAAAAATTATATATAGATGGATAACTAGATCTAGGTAAAGATGATAGAGAACTATAGTGGGTGGATGGGTAGATATAAAGAAAAAATAGAGAGATAAGGAAGAGAGAGGTGATTGATTGACAATAGAGATTGATAGATAGACAGACAGACAGACAGACAAGGAGGAAGGGGGGCTTGGAGACAGACAGATGATCAACTCTGTAGTTTCAACAGGGTATCAGCCTCTCTTAACTCCATTTGCGGAGTGGGCACTGGATGATCCCCAGATATTTTGGACTGTCCATCCTGAATTGCTATGGGATGCGGTGGCTCAGTGGTTAAGACGCTGGAGACTGGAGCTGTCTACAAGTTTTCAGGATTGTGTCTTTGTGTGCGGTTGTAAATACAGACCCCCAAAACCCAGAAGAAAAACCCACCCTCCCACCCCCAGAGCACATGCCACAAAAGCCACCATCTCTCCATCCTTGGGAGAGCTTGGTGGTGTCCTTGCAGACATTTCATGACCCAGTTAGGTAACATCATCAGTGCTAGAAGGGAGTGGGGTTTGTAGAGTGGAGGAGGAGGAGAATTGTGGGGTCCTTGGTTCTCTCTGAGCTGGGTGGTTTTCATGCAAACGTTTCATGATCCAACTAGGTAACACCATCAGTGCTAGACAGGAGTGGAACAGAGAGCAAACCCCCCTCCTTTCTAGCACTGACGGTGTTACCTAGTTGGGTCATAAAACTTCTGCATGAAAACCACCCAGCTCAGAGAGCACCAAAGACCCCACAGATGTGGCAGTTGCTGATTCTCTCACCGCTCGTCCTATTCATGCCCCAATGAGAGATCTCAATGCCCGCCTTATGTGGTAGGCAGATGATCCTCTTTTAACGAGTTACATTCTGATAATAAGCCATCCTTAGCCATCACACTGGGCTCGGTTTAGCTCTGGATGTCACAGCAGGGAGCCACACGATTTGGGATTCACCAGCAATCTTTTACAACAGGGGTCTCCAACCTTGGCAACTTTAAGACTTGTGGACTTCAAGTCCCAGAGTTCCTCAGCCAGTGTTGTGGCCTGACAGCAGATTCGGACAGTGAGGAGGTTGGGGAGGAACTTGGGCCAGTCCCGGAGTCTGGGGAAGGCTCTGATGAGGGCTCTGTGTCAGAGGCAGAGAGGGGGCCAGGGCCGCCCGATAATTATCAGCTGCCTTCAGACTCAGACATTAGTGAGGCAGAAGAACAGCTGGAGCCTGTTCCCAATGTGTGCATGCGCAGAGTTGCCAGACAAAGGGAAGAGCTAAAGAACAGGGGTCGACTTGGGAGTACAGGTGGACGATGAATGGCCCCTCCCAGAGGAAATAAAAGGAGAGTGAAAGGGGAGTGGAGTTTGCAGGAGACAATTAGTTTGTGACTCTCCGAGATGCCTTGCCAAGTTTTGCAGATATCGGCCTGTCAGCTCTCCAAGCCAGATCAGGTCTGTGACTGTAAATCCTCCCTTGAAAGACTTTGCTGGATGTGAATGAGCAGAATTCACAGTGAATTAATAAAAGGGCTTTTTGTCGGGACAAGGAGTTTGTTTCATGCTCTTAGAAAGCCTAGTTCAGAACAGCCAGCCTCGACCTTGGCAACTTTAAATCTTCTGGACTTCAACCCAGCAAAGTCTTTAATTTGCCAAGGTTGGAGACCCCCGTTTTAAACTAAACACCCTCATTACGTCCATGCAGTTTTTCAGATTTTAAGGGTTTTCTTGGCCAGCAGGAGACTTTGAACAGCTGCTTTTTCCATCCACTGAGCCGATTCGTGCTTGCTATTTCCAATGGACTTGTTCCTCCCCCTCCCCTTCCTTTTTTTCCAGGCCAAAAAAGATAAATAAAACAATTGGCCTTTTTATATAAGACTAAAAAAGGGACATGGGGGCTCAGTGGCTAAGACGCTGAGCTTGTTGATCAGAAAGGTCGGCGGTTCAAATCCCTACTGTCGCATAACGGAGGGAGCTCCCGTTACTTGTCCCAGCTTCTTCCAACCTAGCAGTTCGAAAGCACGTAAAAAATGCAAGTAGAAATATAGGAACCACCTTTGGTGGGGAAGGGAACGACGTTCCATGCGCCTTCTGCATTGAGTCATGCCAGCCACATGATCACAGAGATGTCTTCGGACAGCACTGGCTCTTCGTCTTTGAAACAGAGATGAGCAGCGCCCTCTAGAGTCTCGAATGACTAGCAGGGGAACCTTTACCTTTGTATATAAGGCTAAATGTCCTTCCTGTCATCTGGGAGCGAACCCAATCTTCTCTCCCGCTTTCTCTCTCACTTCCCAGGTCACAGCAGCCTCTTTGCTCACAAAGACGGTCCGAACATCCAGACCTTCGGCAGCCCCCACGAGCCCTGGAACCGGCTGCACCGGACGCCGCCCTCTTTCCCCACGCCGCCTCAGTGGCCGAAGCCAGGCGACGCCGAGCGGAGTTCCTCAGTGACGAACCACGACAGGGACCGAGACTCCGAGAAGAGGGAGCTTTCCTCCAGTAAAGAAGAGAGGGAGAAGGAGAGGTGAGGGAGAGGGGACATCTGGCCGAAAGGGTCTCGGTGGCCTTGGCCAAAATGGACTGGTGTACATGGCTTGGGGGGGGTGGCAGTGTCTTATGCCTACCTACCTACCTATCTTCTTGCTTGATTGCCTGCTTCTTTCCTCTCTCTTCCTCCTTTATTCCTTCCTTCTCTGTCCACCTTCCTTCTCTTCTCTCTCCTTCCTCCTCCCCATTCCTTCCTTTCTCTATCTTTCCTTTTTTCTCCTCCCTCCCTGTTTTCCTTCCTTTCTCCCTCTTCTTCCTTCTACCTTCCTCTTTTCTTCTCCCTCCTTACTTTCTCCCTCCCTCTTTTCCTTTCTTTCTCCCTCCTTTCTTCCTTCTTCTCTCTTCACCTTTCCTTTCTTCCCTTCCTTCCTCCCTCTCTTCCTCAATTCCTCCCTCTTTTCCTTCCTTTCTCCTTTCTTCTCTCTGCCTTCCTTCCTTCTCTTCCTCTTCCCTCCCTCCCTCTTTTCCATCTTTCTCCCACCTTTCTTCTCTCCTCTCCCCTCTCTTCCTCCCTTCCTTCTCTCCCTTCCTTTTCTCCATCTTCTTTTCTTCCTCTTCCCTCCCTCCCTGTTTTCTGTCCTTTCTCCCACCTTTCTTCTCTTCCCCTCCCCTCTCTTCCTCCCTTCTTCCTTCTCTCCACCTTCCTTTCTTCTCTCTCTTCTTCTTCCTCCTCTCCCTCTTTTCCAACCTTTCTCCCACCTTTCCCCTTTCTTCCTCCCTCTCTTCCTCCCTTCCCTTCTCCCTCTCCTCCCCCCCCCCTTTTCATGCCATCCATCTCGCTTAGCCTGTGGTATGAATGAAGCCATAATGGTATTATAATAATAACATGGCACATCTGGTGAATTATTATTTTTTGCTGGCACACACGTTTGCCAACTCTGTTGAATAATAATGCCAAATGGTTGTATGGTGAGACACCCATCGACTCTCAATCTCTTTCCCTCCAGGGATCTTCTGGATAAAAGTAGGCACTCAAACCGATCCTCGCCGGCTTCGGCTCCTGTGACGCACCAGATCAGTAACCTCATCCGTAGCAACAGCCAGGCGTCGAGCGACTCCGGACGGCAAGTTGCCCTCCTGGAACGAGACCGATCGAAAGATCTGGAGAGAGAGATCCCTGACAGGCTCAGAGATCTTCCTCCAGTGGCCGACCAGAAGATCAAAGAAAGCCGCTCCCCGGTGAAGGAGCCTCCAAACCATGAAAAGAGGTCCCTGGAGGACAACACCAAGCCCGTCATCCAGTCGGTCTCCCCGTACAGCAAGCCTGCGTTGAGCGAGAGCTTGAAACTGAGCAACCTGATGAACAAGGACATGGAGAGGAAGCCCGAGCTGCTGACGGACCTCCAGAAGATTAAGAACGACATCAAAGTCAAGGAAGAGCGCAAAGAGGAGAGCGACGTCTTGGTGGTGAGCTCGGAAACTTCCCAGCATCCCCGAAGCGCCGAGCACCCTCCACCCCCTTCCCTCCACGGGTTGCCCCTGCCCCACACCATGGCGGCTGCCATGCCCATCTCCATGGGCAGTGTCCACCAGATGAACAACATGAACGTCCTGGAACGCAGCCGGATGATGACGCCGCTCATGGGCATGAACCCACTCGCGGGGCGTGAGAGGCTACCCCACCCAGGGTTTTCCTGGGACCCCATGAGGGACCCCTTACGCGACGCCTACCGGAGCTTAGATCTACATCGCCGGATGGACTTCCAGCTCCGAGCGGATCCCATCCACAGGTTTCCGGCCGCCTCGGGTTTTTACGACCACGAGCGTTCTTACCGGGACCGCGAACCCCATGACTACAACCACGAAAACCTTCTGGAAGCCCGCCGGGAACAGGAGCGGCTTCGGCAAGCGGAAGAGAGGGAGCGGTTGCACTTACGGGAAGAGCTCGAGCGCGCCCGGATACACCACTTGCACACGTCGCCCATCGAAAGCCACCTGGCCCACATGCCTTCCTTCATGTCTCATCTCAGCAGCATGCATTACCCCAGACTTAGCCCTTCGGCCGCCATGCACAACGGGATTTTGAACAGGAACCCGCCCACCGCTGCGCTCAGCGCTCCGCCCCCCTTGGTCCCGGCGAGTAGTACGAGGCCCTCCTCCCCCCGTCGGACTACCCCGCTCACAAACTCGGAATCTCGGGACTATTCCCCATCTAGAAATGCCAAAGAAGTAGAGGCACGATAGTTCGCGGTGGCCCACCTGCAGGATGAATTTCCCGCACGCCCCCCCCCCCCCCCCCCCCCCCCCAAACTTGCCTGGATCCATAGAGGAGGATGGGGAACGGCAGGAGGGGGCGGGGACAAAAACCCTTTTTTTAAAAAAAATGCACTGCTGTAAACTTTTTTTAAAAAAAAAACTGTAAAATTTGTAGACATGAAGCACAGTGGCGAAAGCGATGGAAGGGTGGGGATGGGGGCACGCGCGGAAGGGGGGCATCCGAGGTTACGAACCTTTCTCGACCGCACGGTTGCTGAAACAAAAAAAAATGGAAATTTTAATATATAGGTCTTTGGTTTTTCTCGTTTCCTGGTTTTATTTTTATTTTTATTTTATTTCCTCCCCCCCCCCTTTGCTTCTGTGCTGAGTTAAAAACTATTATCAGGTTTGTATATTTTATTTTATTTTATTTTTTGTTTTGCCCCAAATGCCAGGAACATTTTTAATGAATGTATTGGGTTTTTTTTTAAAAAATGTGCTCTTTGTTCATACACACACACACACACACACACACACACACACACAAGCAAAAAGAAAAAAAGTTTTTGTTTCTAGTTTAAATTTTGTGGCCTCAGATCCTTAAGTAAAAAAAATAAAATAAACATACATCCAGGGTTTCTTAAAAAGTATTATTTATGGAGATAACTGTAGTTTCATACAGTCCACTGTGAGGTTTCTGGACTGAGGCCACTGATTTCTCTGGTACTTTGAAATTGAAGTTACAGATATATATTGAAAAAAATAATTAATAATAATAATTAATAATAATGTACAAAAACTGTTTGTTTTTTGCTTTATATTATGGAGAAAATTAGAGTTTTTTTGACTTCTTGTTTTAAAACACAGCAACAAAAGAAAGCAACATGTAAATACTCTGTTAATATAAATGTACACCAATATTGAATTCTTAACATAGGTAGACTTTATAAAAAAAACCGGTTTCTAGAACCACTCTCTGGTTATTGGTTAACGTTATTCCAATTCAATCCTCTTCAGTGTGTCTAGGGGGTGGGGGGGAGAACTACTGATACAAATGCAATCATCCTCTTTTAACGACCCCATAATCCCTTGCGGGATGGAGTCTGGGCAACTGAATGGATCTGGGTATTTACTGGCCAGATGCCCTTCCTGTCGCCAATGGGGAGTCATATACAGCAGATATAATCTCTACGTGCCCACAGGGAGAAATTTCTGCCTCAAATTTGCAGATGACACCAAGCTGACAGGAATAGCCAACACTCCAAAAGATAGGCTCAAGGTACAGAAGGGTCTAGACCGAATCAAACAAAATGAAATTCAGTGGTGAAAAAAGTGAGGTTCTACATTTAGGCAAGAAAAACAAAATGCACAGGTACAGTATAGGTGGTACCTGGCTCAATAGTAGTAACTGTGAGGGATCTTGGAGCCCTGGGGGGGCAACCATTTAAATAGGAGCCAGCCGTGTGCAGCAGCTGCCGAAAAAGCCAACACAATTCTAGGCGCATAAACAGGGATAGAATCAAGATCACGTGAAAGGTTAATACCATTTTATAAGGCCACACTTATACGGCATCCAGTTTTGGTCACCACGGTGTAAAAAAAGATGTGGATACTCTAGAAAGTGGGTAGAGAAGAGCAATGAAGATGATTAGAGACCTGGAGGCTAAAACATACGAAGAACGGTTGTAGGAACTGGGTATGACTAGTTTAATGAAAAGAAGGACTAGGGGAAATAGCAGTGCCCCAATATCTCAGGGGCTGCCACAAAGAAGAGGGGGTCAAACTATTCTCCAAAGCACCTGAAGGCAGGAGAAAAAGCAATGGATGGAAACTAATCAAGGAGAGAAGCAACTTGGAACTAAGGAGAAACTTCCTGACAGTTAGAACAATTAATCAGTGGAACAACGTGCCTCCAGAAATTGTGAATGCCCCAACACTGGAAGTCTTTAAGAAGATGTTGGATAACTATTTGTCTGAAGTGGTGTAGGGTTTCCTGCCAAAGCAGAGGGTTGGACTAGAAGACCTTCAAGGTCCCTTCCAACTCTGTTATTCTATTCTATTCTACCTAGNCCTCTATTTCCATGAAAGTAAAAGCCTATTTAAACTGCAGTGTCTCTTTATGCTGGTTTGTGTGTTCTCCAACACTACTCTCACAACGCTTCTCTGAATGTACTCGCTCTCCCAACGGGGAACTTACCTAACGATATTTATTGCCTCATTCTACTAGCAGAATTTGGCTACTTTATGAGTGACAGTGTTTTATGGTCTGCTAAAAGATAGGAGACGTACCATTCATTGTTGGTTGCGCTCCCTGGGAATTCCGTTATGAGAGAGGCAGAATTAATATTTCAGGCAGACTCAATTAGAAATGGACTGGACATGTTGAACACCCTCTATGGCAAGGGTCCCCAACCCTCAGGCCGCAGATTGGTCCTGATCCATGGTCCAAGTGAAGCTTCATCTGTGCATGTGCCGGATCTAGTTTGCATGTGAAACATCCCCCCTGTCCATGGAAGACCATTTCCCCCCTGATATTGGTCCCTAGTGCCAGAAAGTTTGGGGACCATTGCCCTATGGCTGTGATGGCATGCAGCGCCATCATGCAAGCCATTGCCCCAGTTCAGCTCCACCACGTGTGGGTGCACGCCTCTTGCTGGCCAGTGGTCTTTGATTCTCTGCCGCATATGCACAGGGGGCGTGGGTGTGCGGGGGTGCATGCACATGCATGGGGGCGCATTCATGGAGCAGGGTACATGCACATGGTGGGGGTGGGGTGGGTGCATGCGCACGGTGTGTGCGCACGGGGTGAGGGTTTGTTAAATTGAGCCAGAGCAAATGCTCTGCGATGTCTATTGTTTATTAAGAATCAGCAATAATTAGCCATCTTAATCAATTATGCTTTTAATAGTCTACAGGGCCAACATTATGCAAGAGAAATCCTCCCTGAGGACTTTGCTGCAGACAGAGAACCCAACCTATTACAAACAGCCATTTTTTTAAACACAAGTTTGTTTCTACTGTGAAATAAAATGCATCATGTAAGTATCTCGCCAGGCAACATGGAAACTGCTGTGGTCAGACAAAACGGATGACCTGACTTTTAAATGTTTGCCACAAGCCTTCTTTCCCTGCTTCTATGCATCGCTGCTGCTTTTACAGTGATCACATAGTTGTTTTGTCTTCCTTTGGTCAGGACTATAGAAATTTAAATGCAACACCATTATACTATCTGAGGAGCAACCAGAGTAATTACATTTTAATTCATCAGCTCCAACTCCGTCACACTTAATCTTTGAATCTCTGAAAGGTACAAACTGACACCAATGGAAAGAATATTTGTAGCTCAGGAGCTGTCTGAGCTTGATTGTTTTCTTGCAGACATTACATTACCCAACTAGATAACATCATCAGTGCTAGAATGATGATAATGGTATTGCCTTGTCACCTGCAAGAAAACAACCACGTTTAGAGAGCACCATGGACTGCATGCTACAAACTGAGCTTGTAAGAAGACACTATCCTGCTTTCTTTTATTTCTGGTCACCTCAGAAGAATTACAAATTCTGCAAAAATCCAGTTGCCTTTTGAAAAACACTTTTGGGACCCATTCCTACTACACTTGGCTTGCTTGATTTTTCTCATAATACATAAACAACTCTCACTTTCATATAACAAAATGGGCAGAGGAGTGTTCTTGTGTATAGATAGACACAATTGCGTATCTCAATATTCATTCTGTTTTTAAAAATATTGATTAAGGATTTTTGCATAGAATAAGAGACAAGACAGAGAGAAAGAAAGATTAAATATATATGTGACTTTTAACCTTTTCAAGAGATAATTATAATCTCATTGTTCCTGCTCCCTCTTAGATGCTAAATCTCTTCAGCCCCCCCCCCCAATGTAATCCAAGTCTGCCTTAATCTTCAAATCTATAAATTATCATTTAATTTCTTTACACTTCCAGCAAAAAGTCCATGTAAAGTTTCCTTTTCTTTCAGAAACATTTTGGTTTTTTCTCTGAAATTTCTTGCCATTTCTGCAAATTTTGACATTTTTCACAATCCCATTCCTTCATCTCAACATTCATTCCTGGTAAACATATCATTCCACCAGCATTTTCACATCTTAAAATTCCTCCATTCATTTTATCTGTAACGATAAACATTACACCAAGATACATACATTCATCATAGAACACAGAATAATAGGTTTGGAAGGCACTTTGGAGGTCTTGTGGTCCAGTTTGTTTTCTAGTCTCTTCTTGAAAACCTCCAGTGATGGAGCACCCACAACTTTCAGAGCAAATTGATTAATTGTTCTCACTATTAGGAAATTTATCTTTAGTTCTCTCTTTAAATTGTATTGTATTGTATTGTATTATTTGTATGCCGCCCTTCTCCGGGAGGACTCAGGGCGGCGAACAATTCAAGGGGGGGGGGGAAAAAAGGGGGGGGGGGGGGGGAAAAAAGGGGGGGGGGGGGGGGAGGGGGGGGGAACATAAAAGACAAAATACAAATAATATAAGTAGACAACAGTCGCACAACCATACATGTCAAGAG